AGGGAGTGGTGATTCAAAACTCCTGGCTAAGGGAAACTTGTTGCTGTTTCTAAAACAGGAAAGAGAAACAAGTTTGCGTGAGGATGAAAAGGGTGGAGAGGTTGAAAGGGAGATGGGACGACTGTAAAGGGGAGCTTAGATAGGAGAGACTGTTGGGTTGACCCCTGCTCAGGCTTTGCTAGGAAGATGCTAAAATAGTGGAGAGTTTAGAAAAGTGTCAAAGGTGTGGACAACTTAATGGAACTTGAGAAAGTGCTAGTGAGGTAGGAGGGAATGTCTAAGCAACCTCAGGCAGGAAGGATATAGCCTGAAATATTAGTTTTAAGGGACATGCTTGCTTCCTGAATGTCATGGCAGAATCGCTGAATTCCAGAGTCCACTGAATGTGCCAATGTTTAGAACAGGGCTTGGCATAGAGAAAACGCTAAACTTGTGTCTCTGTGTGTGTGTGTGTGTGTGTGTGTGTAGCTGGGAATTGAACCCCGGGCCTCCAGAGAATGCTAGGTAATCGCTCTCTTGCAGAGCAGTATCCCCCAACGCTTATTTTTTAAAATTCTAGGGACTCCATTTCCCTTGATGCCCTGCATCCTCTCCTACTCCAATTCCCATCATGCCTGATAGCCGCCTCGTCTGCAATTAAGTTCAAGTCAGTTTACCAGTCCCAGAATTCCTAGCTGTTTCCCTACCTTGCCCTCACGCCTGTTGAATGTCAAGAACAACCAATTGGATCCGAGAGTGGGAGAATGGCAGGCCAATCGCCCAGTCATAGAGGTGGTAGAGGACGTGGCCCTACTCTGCCAGTCCCTGCACTGTGGCTGGTTCTCTTCCAACTGGCGCCTCCGGCTGGACCCGCAGACATGGGCACCACCTGGAGGAATCCTGGGTGGGTGCGGTTTGCCCTTTGCCTCACCGGTTTAGTGCTTTCCCTTTACGCGCTACACGTGAAAGCGGCGCGCGCCCGCGACCAAGATTACCGCGCCCTCTGCGACGTCGGCACTGCCATCAGCTGTTCGCGCGTCTTCTCCTCCAGGTGCGCGTGCAAGTAGAATGCTTTGGGCCCGACGGAGTCTGGAATCCAGGTGCACAGGGAACGGACACTTTGAAACCGAACTGCCCAGCAAATCGAGTGTGCACAGGGGCTGGGCTACCAGAGATAATAAAGTTCCAGATAAGAGAGCAGGGCACAGGGGAAGATAGTCCTGGGGACTGGGACTGGAGATCGCACGTGGATCTGGGTGCCAAAGAACAACGGTTAACGGGAAAGAGGGAGAGGTAACGAGTAGGAACTGACGTGGTCTTGAGCGTGGCGCGAGGGGAGGGGAATGCTGGTAATGACTGCCTGGGAGCAGGAGACTAAAGATGGCTGTGCTTGAGGACCAGGGGTTTAATAGTTAGTGCGATGATGGATACGGAAGAAGGGATTGGGTGGCCAGGAAATTGGATGTTTGTGAGTCCAGGGCTAGGAGAATGTGCCCCAGATTTTCCATCTTGGGAAAAGGTTACGCCATCCTTGTCATCTAAAGATTATTGAAGGTCCAGGATAGAGAGGTGCCTGGAAGAGCAATGGCCAGCCCTGGGGATAAGGGAGGACAGGGGCAGTGATATGGAATCCTGACGTGGCCAAACATTCGGGAGGTCAGGAGGTCATGGACCTTTGGATCCCTCGGGTGGATGGGGAATAAAAAATGGGGGCAACCAGCCCAGGTGGYTTCTTGGAAATCACCTTTCTAGGACAAAGTCCAAGGCACTAGCTTGACACTACTAACCTGGGTCCCCACGACSACCACCACCACCAGGTGGGGCCGTGGCTTCGGGCTGGTGGAGCATGTGCTGGGAGCAGACAGCGTCCTCAATCAATCCAACAGCATATTCGGTTGCATTTTCTACACTCTACAGCTGGGGTTAGGTGAGTGGCCCTGTCCCTTCCAGCTAGGCAAACCCAGTCCCACCCAGACAGTTGACAGCCAGCTGCTCATCACTAAGCATTCTTGGGGCAAGAAGACAGGGAGGGCACTAACAGGAATCTTTCAATTGGTTTAGGTCAGAGGCTGACCAACCCCTAAAGACTTCCTAGGATCCTTTTYATATTTTATTTTTATAAAAATTTTTATTATTTTTAGCTATACATGACAGTAGGGTATATTTTGATATATTTTACATACGTAGAGTATAATTTATTATAATTTGGATTCCATTTTTGCGGCTGTACATGATCTGGAGCATCACTGCTTGTATATTCATATATGTACATAGGAAAGTTATGTCCCATTCATTCTGTCTTTTCTATTCCCATTATATTTTATTTTGAGAGAGGGTCTCCCTAAATTGTTTAGGGCCCCATTAATTTGCTAAGGCTGGTTTTGAACTTGTAATCTTCCTGCCTCAGCCTCTTGAGTCACTGGGATTACATGCATGCACCGTGCCCCTGGATCTTTCTTTTTTTTAAAGACATGCCCAAACTGGCCCCAAACTCACAGTCCTCCTGCCTCAGTCTCCCAGTAGCTAGGATTAAAGGCATGTGCCACTGCACCTTGCCAGAAGTTCCTTTTTTGAGGACAATCCAGATAACCCTTTCGTCTTGTGTAGAACTCTATAAGAAAATTCACTATTTGGAAACCTGGGATCATTGAACAGATAGGTAAACAAAGGTCTTAGAGGGGGTCTGCCAGAGCGTCTTGTTTAGAGACCCTTCCCCTGCAGTCTAAGGAGCACCAGAAGTCATGACAGTGTTCTAGATATGGCCATTCCTTATTTTTTTCTGCTTTTGCAGGTTGCCTGCGGGGACGCTGGGCCTCTATCCTACTGATACTGAGTTCCTTGGTATCCCTTGCTGGTTCTGTCTACTTGGCCTGGATCCTGTTCTTCGTGCTCTATGATTTCTGCATTGTTTGCATCACCACCTATGCTGTCAACGTGGGCCTGATGTTGCTTAGTTTCCGGGAGGCTCAGGAACCCCACAGCAAGGCCAAAGGACACTGAGTTCTCACCCCAAACCAGGCTGACCACATCTGCTTTGCTTTAGCACATGAGCCTTGCCCAAGGGGGCCATGTCTGGGTACCTAGAAGGCCCTTCATCTCCCCCCCACCCATCCCTTCCATAACCATACACAGGAAAATGGACCAAATGTGCCTCTAGCTCTGACCCAAGGGCAGGTTTAGGTTTTTGCAATTGCCCAAGGAGAGAAGGTTCTGAGCAATAAAATTTCTTAAATAAAGTTGGTTAAGTCTGAACCATTTGTCTGCTAGGGATACTGGTTTTGGGCTTCCCCCAGTGTTGCCTTCTCTGGAACTGGGAAGGATGAGTCAGAGGGAGAGTGGAGGGCCAGTCTGGGAAGGGTGTTTGTGGTTAGTCTCACCTCTAGTAGTGGAGTCAGCAAGGTCTGGGGCACCATCAACTCCCACCCTCAGGAAATAGGCTGGCAGCTTGTCCTTCCTGCCCACAAGTGCCAGCCCTCCAAGCACATACCTGCAAGGACAAGTTGCCCTTCTGGCTCTGGGCATATGTGCTGTGAACATCTTCCTATAATCTAACCTCAGTCCCTCCAACTGCCTTATCTACCATCCCAAGCCAGTCTTGGCAGTTTTGGAGGGTCAGGGCCAGGTTGTGTTTTTGTTCTTCCTGATAAGTACTGATGACTTGCTCATATGCCAAGCACTATTTTAAGAATTTTTGTTAATGTATTTAATCACTGTAGCAATTGTAGGAAGCAGGGTTATTAGTATTTCTATCTTGGTTAGGAACCTGAGGTACACAAAGGTTGTAATTTGCCTAAGATCATACACCTAGTACCAGGAAAGAATTAGGGAGATCTCAGGGTTTTTGTTTTTTTGTTTCTTCCTGGAGGGCCTCACACATATGAGGGAAGTACAGTACCACTAAACTACACCCCCAGTCCCATATCTGCTTCTGGGTTGAGGTTTCTGGTTGGCCTTAGGTAGAAGTCAGAGAAAAAAAGATGCACTCCAAATATTCTCTTCCAACTTTTCCAGCATTTGTAAGAAAAGTGGGCATCAATGTAACCTTATTTCCTGGGAAGGTAACAGGCCCAGAGAGAGAGATTGGGATTTGCCATAGATTCATGACCAGCAAATAGCACAGRGATCTGATCCCAAACCTACCTTTGTATAAACCATCTCTGAAGCAGACATCGGGAGAAGGTATGTGAAGCCTACCTGGCCCTGGCCTGAGATAGGCAGGGAAGACAAAATAAAAATGAAAACTAGGAAGGTCTGTCAACCAWATCCTTCGCAGCTCCAGGGGAATGTTTCTATGCTGGAAGCAAGTTTATTAGAAGCCAGGCTCTCATCAAAGCATTTTCACATTCAACAATTCTGAATATTTTTGTTTGTTTATGCCAGGGACTGAGCCCAGGGGTCTTTAACCACTGAGCCATATCCCCAGCCCTTTTGAGACAGGATCCCACTAAGTTGCTGAGGTTGGCTTTCCTCCTGCCTTAGCCTCCTGAGTCACTGAGATTACAGGTGTGTGTCACCATGCCCAACATCAACTCTGAGTTTTGTTCATTTTCGTTTTGTTTTTTTTTTTTTTTAATATTTTTTAGTTGTAGATGGACATAATACCTTTATYTTATTTATTTATTCTTATGTGGTGCTGAGGACCGAACTTAGGGCCTCGCACATGCCAGGCGAGCACTCTACCACTGGGCCACAACCCCAGGCCCCAATTCTGAGTTTTTCTGACAAAGGCACAGACAAGTTAACTGTTCAATCCAGTTCCTACTTAAGTAGTAAGTGGAGGAACTGGGATTTGAACCCAGGAAATATGGCTCCATGGTTAAGTCCCAGAGAGGGGTGACTGACCAGCTCAGGGTCACACAGCCATAGCCCCAAAGCTAAGAGCTGCTGGCTACCCTCCAGCCCAGAAAAAGCTATGACTACTRACTACTAGCCAACTGGGGGCGGAGCAGAGGTGGAGCCAGGGAGACCCAGGTGGCCTCTCTGACAACCACAGCACAGGCAGCAGAGTGGCCTGGAGCAGCATGAAGCAGAGCTGGGGACCAGTACTRCTCATCCTGGGAGTGGTGGTCCTTATAGAAGGTAAGCCATCCATTGGTGAGGGAGTGGGGAGTGACATGGTAGGGGTTCACAGGCCACCCTCTGCTCTTCAGCCCCTGCAATTTGGTGAGGGATCCTGTCTGGGGCAACAGTCTGCCTAAGATGATGTCAGTGTGGTTGTTTGGGCAGGGGGATATGTGACCACCTATGTCAAAATGGGTATGATTTTTTTGAGCAGGGTTAATCTGTGTCTGCAGGGACTATCATTGTGTCTCTGGGTAGTCCTGCCTATGTGTATATCTTATGCTGTCTGCCTCTCTGCTTTCAGACTTACCTCAGGCAAGTTCAGGGGCACCCCTGGCCTGGGTATCTGTCTTTCCTCCCTCCCATCTTGGATCTCTCAGCTAAGATGTTCAATGGGTCTATGTATGCCTGTGAAGGAGAACAGGCAAGGCAGGGACCCTTTGGTAGAACCCCTGGCAGCTCCTGGGAAGCTGGGGAGTCTGGAGTTGTTAGAATAGGGGTGGAGTGAGTCTCAATCTTTTGGGGCTCTTCCCCAATTGGGCATGACGTAGGCTTCTAATCCTTCTCTTAGGCCTCCACAGCTAGAGAGACAATTAAGCTAATGCTCTCCACAAACACAGGCTGCCTCCCTGACTCAATGCTGGGGGCAGGAATTGGGGGTTCTTAAGGCTAAAGGAAGGTTGGTCTGGTCCCAAGCTGAACCCCAGGCTCTGTTTCTCAGGCCCAGGAATGATGAGCACAGCTGAGGGAGGAGGACTAATTACTGAGTGTGCACTCTGAATGGGTTCCAATAAAAGCTGTTTCTCGGCCTCATATAAATATTTTCATTCTGGGAGGGGCTGGTGAGGTAGCCAGAGTCATAGGCAAGGACCCAGGGACTGTCCCCACTGAGCCTGAACCAGGAGGTTAGGTGCCCCCAAGCCTTACCTGTGTCTCTTTTTTTCCCCCAGGTCTTCAAGCAGCTCAGCGTGGTAAGCTCTGGGGAAAGATGTGGGGACATGGAGGCTGGGTCTTACTTGGGTCTGGGTCAGGCGTGGGGTGGAGGCAGGACAGGGGTCAGCAGTCTGTCTGACCCATCCCTCTCCACAGTCTGTGGGCAGCGTGGCCCTGGCCCCCCGAAGCCTCAGGAGGGCAACACAGCACCTGGTGAATGGCCCTGGCAGGCCAGTGTGAGGAGGCAGGGAGTCCACATCTGCAGTGGCTCCCTTGTGGCAGACACCTGGGTTCTCACCGCTGCCCACTGCTTTGAAAAGTGAGTCATGGTTGGGGTCAGGTAGGGTCTCTGGCTTAGGGGTGGATGATTTGTTCCCATGCCCCACAAAACTAGTCCCTGCACCTCAAATTCCATTTGATAATCTAACATATGTCAGGTACATATTCTCAAGTTAATTTTAACAACAACCTTGGGGCTGGGAATATAGCTCAGTTGGTAGAGTACTTGCCTTGCATGCACAAGGCCCTGAGTTCAATCCTCAGCACCAAAAAAAAAAAAAAAAAAACAACCAAAAACAGAAACTCAACCTTTCATTTACAAATGAAAGCTGGAGAGAAAAGGAACTGCTGTGCTTAAAGTCATGGACTGATATCTTCCCACCTTCCACCTACCTGTGCTATCTCCTATGGCATCATGGCGTCACTCCCTCCTTGCACTCAATAGCCTGGGTCTTACCTTTCCTATTCCAGGGCAGCATCGACAGAACTGAGCTCCTGGTCCGTTGTCCTTGGTTCTCTGCAGCGTGAGGGGTTAAGCCCAGGGGCTGAGGAGGTGGGGGTGGCTGCCCTACAGTTGCCCAAGGCCTATAACCACTACAGCCAGGGCTCAGACCTGGCCCTGCTTCAGCTTGCCCACCCCACAGCCCACACACCCCTCTGCCTACCCCAACCTGGGCATCGCTTCCCCTTTGGAGCCTCTTGCTGGGCCACTGGCTGGGATCAAGACACCAGTGATGGTAAGTGCTGTCCTAGCCTAAAGCCCAAAGAGGCACTCTGCTATCCCAATGACACATAGTCTTATCTCCTGCCTGTCCCGGCCCCAAGTCTCCCTTGCTTCCCAGAACTCAGATTCCAGCCTTAACCCCTATCTTTTGCCAGCTCCCAGGACCCTACGGAATTTTCGCCTGCATCTAATCAGCCGCCCCACGTGTAAYTGTCTCTACAACCGGCTGCATCAGCGGCTCCTGGCTAGCCCAGCTAGGCCGGGAATGCTGTGTGGGGGTGCTCAGCCTGGGGTGCAGGGGCCCTGTCAGGTTTGAGGGGAAGGGAAAAGGAGAGGGAACCTAGCCTTGGGCTGGRGGGCTCAACCCAGAGAAGAATAGAAGGGCTGCAATCAGAAGGTGTCTGTCCTTGTCTCCATTGCCTGGCTCCAGGGAGATTCTGGAGGTCCTGTGCTGTGCCATGAGCCTGATGGACACTGGGTTCAGGCAGGGATCATCAGCTTTGCATCAAGATGTGCTCAGGAGGACAATCCTGTGCTGCTGACYGACATAGCTGCTCATAGCTCCTGGCTGCAGGCTCGCGCTCAGGGGGCAGCCTTCCTGGCCCAGAACCCAGGGACTGTGGAGACCAGTGATGAGGACAGCTGTGTAGGTATGAGCAGAGTGTTCAGAGTGGGGATGTATGGGGATACTGAAGCCTGCATGAGGATTTCTGGGTAGCAGGTGGAAGCCACAGTAAAGCAAACTTCAGTTCAGAATAGAGTTGAGGGGCTGGAGTTGTGGCTCAGTGGTAGAGCACTTGCCTGGCATGTGTRAGGCCCTGAGTTTGATCCCCAACACCACATATAAATAAATAAAATAAAAAAGATCCATTGACAAAAATATTTTWAAAAAATACAGAATAGAGTTKATACAACACACTACCAATGGGCCTTTAAGGCCTCTTTTGGCCCTTGGGATGGGAATAACCCCATTGGGGCTGAGAGGTATAGGATGCTTGGAGCTTTATGGGTTTGGAGTTTAGGTAAGAAAAGGGATCACTGAGATTTGAGTGGAAGTTTTTTGGGGAAGCTACAAGCTTCCGCACAGAGATTCAGTGAGACAGGGCAGGGCACCCACTCAGACACCTGGCATTAAGTGACTGACATGCAAACTGCATGCAAAATAATTCCTGGGAAGGAAGCTATGTCTGGATGTTGAGAGAAGCACAAGTGAGCCAGGAATTCTGGAGCCAGTCCAGGCCTGGAGGAGTGCAGATGGGTGGAGCGGGGGAGTGATGAGCAGGGCCCTTCCTGGAAGACTGGGACAGAGTACTGTCAGACCATCTGGGTTAAGAGCTCAGGTTGGCTTTTGAATCCAGGAGCTCCCTACCAGTGAGCTWCATCTCCAGCCCTTTTGTTTTGAGGAAGAGTCTCACAAAATTGCYCAGGCTATCCTCAGTACTTGTGATCCTCCTGTCATAGCCTTCAGAGTGGCTGGGATCCCAGGCCTTCGTTACCACTCCCAGCCATCCCTGACTTTTGAATCCCAAGTCTGCTACTTGCTCTTGGTTTAAGAGCTAGAAGAAAGTCACTTAACTTCTCAGGAACTTTGGTTACTTCTGGTAATGAGGGTAACAAAAATCAATTTAAAAGGATATTGAGAGGATTTGATAGCGCATAGGAAATATTTAAGCACAGGGCCTGGCACACAGTGAACATTAAGTCAAATGACATAATTCATCGTTTTCAGCCTGTGGATCCTTGAGGACCAATGGTCCCCAGGCAGGAGCCCCCTCCCAGTGGCCCTGGGATGCCAGGCTGAAGCACCAGGGGAGACTGGCCTGTGGCGGAGCCCTTGTGTCAGAGGAGGTGGTGCTGACCGCTGCCCACTGCTTCATTGGGTGAGCTCTTGCACCTCTCCTTTGTGCCCCTTGCCCCAGTTCTGTTACCCAGTGCTCTCAATGCTGCCTCTGCACAGGCGCCAGACCCTAGAGGAGTGGAGTGTAGGGCTAGGGGCTGAAACAGAGGAGCACAGCCTGAAGCAACTCATCCTCCATGGGGCCTATACCCACCCAGAGGGGGGCTATGATATAGCCCTCTTGCTGCTGGCCCAACCTGTGACACTAGGCCCCAAAGTGCGGCCCCTTTGCCTGCCCTACACTGATCACCACCTGCCTGATGGGGAACGTGGCTGGGTCCTGGGGATGGCCCACCAAGGAGCAGGTATGTAGAACCAGGCCATCAGCAGTTGTCCATCCAGCCTAAAGGCCAATGGGACATTCTGATTCTTTTCCCTTGTCCTGTAGGCATCAGCTCYCCTCAGTTGGTACCTGTGACTCTTTTGGGGCCAAGAGCCTGCAGTCGTCTGCATGCAGCCCCTGGAAGTGATGGTATCCCCATTTTGCCAGGGATGGTGTGTACCAGTGTTGTGGGTGAGCTGCCCCACTGTGAGGTGAGACCCAGTTCATCAAACCATACCCAACAGACCCCCAGCCCTCCCTCACCCTGCAGTTCATGAACAGACCTGTCAGGCTTGGCTTCTAGCTCTAATCCCACCTGAARGTAATCCTTTCTGCCAACTAGCCCCCAAACTGCCAGAGATCCAGTCCCTAGCCCCTTTCGCTCTTCCCCAGTTGCCTAAAGAAAAAAAGGAAGTCACCCAGTGTCACCTGACCTCACAGGGCCTRTCTGGAGCACCACTGGTGCACAAGGTGAGGGGCACATGGTTCCTGGCTGGTCTACATAGCTTTGGGGATGCCTGCCAAGGCCCTGCACAGCCTGCGGTCTTCACAGCACTCCCTGCCTATGAGGACTGGATCAGCAGTTTGGACTGGCAGGTCTACTTCGCTGAGGAGCCAGAGCCTGAGATTGAGGCTGGAAGCTGCCTAGCCAACTGGAGTATGTGACCCCGAGAGTTTCCTGATGAACTGCCTTTCTCTAGACTCCTCTCTCAATCTAGGGAGAGCACTATTCTAACCCACCTGTAGCTGACCTGGATGGGGAAGAGCACTGGACAGACCCATGTGGATGCTAAGGAGTAGGCCTCTTAACCTCTTTGAACTTCAGTATTCTCATTGGCCACAGGAACCAAGACAGACACTACTTTTAAGGGAGGGAACTAAGTTGTGAGGATGAAGCCAACCCCACCCTACTTTTTCACCTTGACAGGTCAACCAGCCAGCTGTTGACAGGTGACTCTCTAGGCTGTTCACAGGACKCGAGAAAAGTGAGGCAACTCCCACATCAACTCTTCTGCCCCAGCCTCCACGCCATGTGTAGTTCCAGTCCCTGAGGCAGCCCAACAGCTCATCTGGCTATGGGAAGAGCCTGCCCAAAATCAGAAGATGCTCCCACTCTCTGCCCTGCAGGACAGAGATGTCACCTGTGGGTCTTCCCACACTCAGCTCTGCTGTCCAATGCAGGCATCCCCAGTTCTCCCTATACTTCATTCTCTCAGATACAATCACACCAGTCATCTCTTTTGAAATTTTCTTTTTTGGGGGGGAGCAATTTTCCATTTTTTAAACTTAAATAAATTGTTACAAAATAGACTTTAGAAAATAAGTTACAAACTGTAGCAAAAGGCTCCCCTTCCACAGGCAACATTCCCACTCCTGGTGCTCTGAGTCTGCCACTCCCCAGCGTTGGAATCTAGCTGGTGAGGGTGGCCCAGCACCTTGGCAGAGCCTGGCACCAGGAAGAGCATGGTGACAAAAGCTGGGGGAAGGAGGTACTTCAAGGGCAGGGACATGAGGAATGACCTTTCCCCTTCTTGGGAAAGAAGCCAGATGTGGGTCCTCTTCACAGGGAGAGGAGAAAAGAGATGGGGATGCCCAAGCTACTCCTGAGCAAAACAAGGAGATCAAGCCCCTCTCTGCCTGCACCCCCGCTCCCTCCAGTGTTCTGATCTTTGGAGACTTGAAATTCAGAGGGAGAAGCTGAGGTCTGCAGGCCACTGGGGTGAAGGGTCCAGAAGTTGGGTTGTGGGAGTGGGTGGAGGGGGCAATGACAAATCCCCTCTGCCTGTCGCTGGTGCCACTGGGGCTCCTGGGAAGAGAAAGAGAGGAAGTCACCAACTTGAGGGGGCAGATGCCACATGTCCCCAGGCTGCAGGCCATTCCTACCTGCCCATGGTCCCAGAGGTCCATATGAAAACCCAGAAATTCTAGGATTCCCAATTATTTTCCCAACTGGCACTCACTCCATTTCCCTTGAAATCATAAGAAATCTTTTATATTGAGAGTCATCCCTTTTGCTTCCAGTGGATTGTCACCCACCATCCTCTCCCCTGATAAGCTCTGGTGAAGGGCCTACCATCTTAGGATACCCACCCTTGGTGGCCACTAGATGGAATGGGTCCTCCTCTCTAGGAGGTGGAGGGATAGAGCCCAGGGCTTGCTGAAGGAAGAGGCTGTCCCACTCCTCCACAGCTTCATCCTTCAACAAGCTGGGTGGAGGCAAATCTACACTGAGATCCCCTCGATAGAGGATGAGAGATAGGGGCTAATAACTGCTATTGCTATAGCTAAGCCAGGCTTCAAAGAAATAATTATCTGTGACTCAGTCCTCCAAGTTAAGGCATGCAGGGGGTGGGGGGTTACAGGTGGAAAGGGTGGTTTGGTTAGATCCTAAAAAGATGGCCAGCAGAGGGAGAACATAAGAGTTGACTAAAGAAAGAAAAAGAGATGTGGGAGCAAAGGTCCCAGGAAAGGATTAGAGGCCTAGTTTCCAAGAAAAAAGAGCAGAGACAAGATATAGGGAAAGAGGGACAAGGAACTGCATACTGACCAGTGACCCAGTTTCCACAGCCAAGTCAGTAGTGAAATCATAAAGCAGTCAAAGCAGAGGCAGTCACTGACTGAGGGGGCTGATCCCACACCTCACCCAGGCCTGCAGGCCATTTCCCCCACACCCACCCTATATGAGAACACAGGAATCCTGGCATTCCCAATAATTCCCCACCCATGCCCATTTTGAGAAAGGAAAAAAAAACAACACAAAATCAATTTCACTTTTTTTTTCCTCTGAAAATAATTACTGGCTGAATCAGGAGGGTTTCCATATATAATAGTCAAGAAATATTCAGCTATTCCCTCCCCTACCACTGAAACAAAAAGGAATTCCTCTTTGACTATAGCACAGGAGCCTACACAGCTACCTGCCCCAACCCACTACACTATTTATCTGACCATGGTTTGGTATTAACGTTTTCATTTTACAAACAAGGAAGCAGAGTCCCTGAGAGGTTGAATGATGAGCTCCAGGTCTCACTTTAGGGGAAAGTGGGGCTTACATGTAAATTCTAGTTAACAAAGCATGTGTGCTTCCCCTATGGTGCCTCTAAAATAGCTAGGGCTGCCTTTCAGCTGGCCCACTCTCTATCCTACACCCAAAGAGCTTGTTCTTATTTGAAGTGTCAATCAGATTTCAAAATGAGTTTAACCCATACATTTATGTGAGCCCAGGATGGAGCCCAGGATCCACCCTACATTATTTCAGTAATAGTTGCATTTCCCCTTAGAGTCTACCCCTAAGACACTCTCAGGCCATGAAGCCTGAAAGATGCCTCAGCTCACCTCTGGGATGAAGCATATAGCACAGACCTTGTCCAGTCAGCTTATCGCTTCTCCTTGACAACAGGGATTGGTTCAGATCTCAGATGCTAAAAAGGCAGCATCCTTGAACTAGTTTTCTTCACTTTAGGTCCCCCACCCTCTTAGAGTATATGTAGCTCTCTCATTCCTTATCCCACACCTACCTTAGGGCCTGGTTTTACCTTTCTCTAATGCCCACCCTCTTTCTGTGACCCTTCAATCCTCTACCCAAGCCCATTCATGCCCGCTTACCAGATCTGGCCACTGTCCATTCTTCTTGGTGTTGCTGCTGATGCTGCAGGAAGCTGATTCGGCGGCGGAAGTGGCGGGGACAATGGGGGCAGGTAAAAGGTCCCTCCCGAGGTGCATGGACCCGCCCATGGCCCTCTAGCCGGGCAGCTGTCCGGAAGGCCTTGCCACAGATGTTGCAGCGGTGGCGTTTGGGGTCTGTGTGGGTCCTGCCATGGTTCTTAAGAGACAGCAGGTTAGGTAGAAGTTTAGGGCACAGGGAGCAGGGATACAGTCCAGTGGTGTGGGCCTTCTGGTGATTCAGCAGGCTCCCAGCATGGCGGTAGGAACGCCCACACTGGGCACAGCGGAAAGGCCGCTCCTTGTCTTCAGCTGCTATGGAATTTACTCCTTGGCCTCCACTAGCTTGCTCAGCATTCTCTTCTGGAGCCCTGGGGTGTTCTGAAGTGGCCTCCTGAGCTTTCTCTTKACCAGGGAGACCTGCTTTGTCCTCTATAATCCCAGCTTGGGGACCTCTGGCCTCCTCTATCTGACTTGGCATCTGACTGTAGCCCTTGGCATGAGTCTGCAGATGGGTGACCAGTTCATGGTGGCACTGAAAGGCCTTGCCACAGTCAGGGCAGGCAAAAGCCTGAGCAGCTATGTGGTTGTGGCTGTGACTCTTAGTGGCTACAGGATTTAAGAAATTCTTGGAGCAAAGCAGACAATAGTGGCGATCTGTCTTGTGGGTATTATGGTTCAAAAGGCCATCTGATTGGCAAAAGGTCTTACCACATTGGCTACAAGAATAGGAATGGCTCTCTGGCTGGAACTGAGAGCTGCTGTCTCCATTGTCCCAGTTATCCACATGACTCAGACTAGGTCCATTGGACTGACTGTCAGGAAGATGGCAAGGACTACTGGGGACATCGTCTTCTGATTTGTCTTCTGGCTTAGTTAACAGCTGACCCTGAAGAACCCAATCTCCACTGTGATTCATTAGTTTCCTATCTCCTTGCCACCCATCTGCCTTCCCCATGTCCCATGACAGTAGCTCTGCAGCATCTGAACCTTCTGCCCTGATGGGGCTCTGACTGTGTTCCCCTGGTCTTATGGCTCCATCTTCTACCTGGGGTACTGACTCAATACTACCTGATCTGTCTTTAAGTCCCAGATCATTGGCCAGGTTCTCTTCATTGCCTTCTGTACCACTTGGGTCTCCATGGCCATTGGCCAGCTCCTGTTTAGTCTTTTCCTCATGCTCCCTCAGGTGCCGCTCTAGAGATCCCCGGCCAGGAAAGCCCCGGCCACAGACAGCACAGCGTACAGCTGCCCGCCGGGACCGGCCTGCCCGCCGCCGCCAACTGTCAGAGTGCAGCCTCTGATGGTCCTTAAGGGCCATGCGGTTTGAGTAAGTCTTGGGGCAAGTGGGGCAGCTGTATTGGCCTGTCTCATGGCTGCGCCGGTGGTTCAGGAGGCTGCCTGCATGGCGGTAGGTCCGTCCACACTGACCACATCGGAAGGGACGATCTTCTCGAGTCATCTTTTGGGTACCCCCACGCCGCTCAAAATGGACTCGCTGGTGACTAGCCAGCTGTTTCCTCAAGCGAAAGGCCTTCCCACATTCGCTGCAACGGAAACGCCGAGGGTCTGCATGGATGCGCCGGTGGTTCTTGAGAGACATGAGGTTTGAAAAGCCCTTGGAGCAAGCCTGGCAGCCAAAGTGGCCAGTCTGATGGCTCTGCCGGTGATTGATGAGGCTACCAGCATGTTTGTATGAACGGCCACACACCTCACAGCTGAAAGGCCGCTCAGAGCTGGCCTCTGTCTGACAGCCCTTCTCTGCCGTCTCCAACCTTGGCTCTATCTCCTCCCCCTTCACAGTGGTCTCTTCCCATGCCTCTTCCTTCACTCTAGCCACCTCCTCCAAGGGCTCCACTTTAAGTTCTTCCTGGAGCTTTCCGACTTCTGCCTGCTCTGGCACCTTCTCTGCCACATTCTGGGGCTCACTACTGCCTCCTGCCTCTGGAATGGGTCCCACTTGAGGCTCAGAGCCTTTGCAGCGAGGGTGGTTCCGCAGATGATTACGGTAGGCAGCCAGGTTGGGGTAGCAGCGGGAGCAAACAGAACAGATGAAGTCCCCAGTCTGGTGGATCTTACGGTGGTTCACTAGGCTGCCCCCATGGCGATAAGTCTTGCCACACTGGTTGCAGCGAAAGGGACGGGGTTGGACCTCCAGAAAACTTTCATCAACCTGCATGCAAAGGTTGTCTGCAACTGTGCCACCTACTTCCTCTTCAGACTTTGTGTCCCCACCCTCTCCAGAAACAGAGGTCACTATGCCCTCAAAGACACTGTCAGCAACCACTTCCGTGGCATCGTCTAACATTTCCAAGCAGCTGGAAGCCTTGTCTGTGGTGTTTTCTGAATTCTGACTTTGGTGGTGACGTTCTAGGCTCCCCAGGTCATCATAGGTCTGACCACAGCAGCCACAGATGTGCCCATAACCTGCTCCATCCAATGCTTCCACCTCTCTCTGCAGCTGATTCAGCAGCTCTGCTTCTGAGAGTTGTAGTGGAGGGGATTGGGTGGAGGCCGCCTCTACAGCTCCTTCTTCTTCCCCCTCCTCCTCTGAGCCCTCAGTCATACCAGAGGAATTGTGAGCCTGGCGCCGGTGAAGCCTGTAGCCAGCTCGCCCAGGGAAGATCATACCACAGAGGGAGCAGAGGAAGGGCTGTGCTGAGACTACCTCCCCTGGCCCATGGTTCTGGAAGTGACTGCGTAGGGCAGGCAGAGAGTCAAACTCCTTCGGGCACAGTGAGCACTGATAGATGCCTGGTGGATGGCAGGGCCTATGGCTTAGCAGGCCAGTGGCATGGGGGAAAGAGCGCCCACAGTCAGAACATGTGTGAGTGACCTCAGATTGCCAGCTGGTGACAGTTTCAGAAGAGTGGGAAGAGGAGTTAGGCTGCTCAGTAGTCGGTTTCTGGTCTTTGTCCATCCCAGGAAGGCCAATACAGAAGTGAGTCCCGCTGCCTTCTTCATTACCAGGGATGTCCAAATTGTCAAGAAAACAAGACTCCTTCCTTTCTAGTCCATTCTCAGTGTCTCTGCTCTCTTTATTACAGGCCTCATCCCTCTCAAGCTCACATTTGTCACCTTCAGATTCAGCCTGTGAACAGTCCCCATCACTTTCCAAGTTGCCTTCAGTCCTACAAGGACTTTCCCCTAAAGGTCCTTGGGGATGATCCAAGCCCCCATTGTCTTCCAACTCCTGGACCCACGTTCCCCCTGGTGGGAGTTTGGCTTCTCCCATACTGGCACCCCGCTTTCGATGCCGCCTGCTCCGCCGTCGGCTATGGCGTCGCAAATGGTTCTTCATGGCAGACATGGTATGGAAGTGCTTGGCACAGGCCCCACAACTAAAGTCCCCTGTCTGGTGGGTCTGCCTGTGGTTGATAAGGCTGCCCGAGTGGCGATAGCTCTTCCCACAGTCTCGGCAGGCAAATGCCCGAGGAGGTGACATTGTGGCCTCTGTCCTATTTTCCACTTCCCCTGCCCTATGGGTCAGGACATGATGTTCAAGACTGTCAGGATCTTCAAAGAGCATCCCACAGATGCTACATATCTGTGGTGATGTCCCATCTGCTACTGGGGGRATATCAGTGGCCTCTTCTTCATGTTTGCATAAGTGCTCCTGATCTGTGTGTAGGGCTGCCCCCGCTCCCACTGGGTCAGGTGGGAGTTCCACCTTGAGGTGGCTGGGGGGACCCTCAGTCCTTGGGTCTGCATTTCGGCGAGCAGCCTTGCAATGTACCCGCACATGGTTTCGYAGGGCCATTAGGTTGGGGTACTTGCGGGGACATAGTGAGCACTGGTACTCTCCTGTTCGATGGCTGTGTCGGTGGTTCACCAGGCTTCCCCGGTGGCGGTAAGCCCGACCACATTCATTGCACTTATAGGGGCGATGGTCTAGAGTGGTGGTAGGGACCCCATCATCTCTGTGGGTGGTTTCAGTCAACAGCAAAGGAGCTGGTGGTACTGATGACTGTCCATCTTCCCCAGCTCCTTGCCGAGGTCTATGATGAGCCCGCACATGGTTTTTGAGAGCAGCTGCATTGAACAGCTGTTTGGAACAGACTGAGCARGGGTAGACACCTGTCTGATGGCTCTTTCGATGGTTGATGAGGCTCCCAGCATGCCGGTATGTACGGCCACAGTCCCCACAGCGGAAAGGCCGGTATTCTTCCAGGCCACTGTCTTCCAGCTCCCCAGAAGTGCTGAGCTCCCCAGAGCCATTCAGCATCTGTATACTAGGTAGCTGGTCCTGGCTGCTCTCATCTGTGTGACCATTGGTAGTGGGCATCCCTTTCTCTTCCCACGGTTGCTCCTGCCTTTCAACCTCATGGGACTGCTGGTGCTCCAACAGATCCCGGGGAAGCCGGAAGGCACGAGGGCAATAAGGACAGTGGTAAGGCCGATATTGGGCATGTAGTCGGGAATGGTTCTTCAGAGCCATGAGGTTAGAGAACTCCTTGAAGCAGATGGCACAAGGATAAACACCCAGGGTGTGGCTCTGGCGATGATTGGTGAGGCTACCAGCATGCTTGTAGGTCTTGCCACACTGACTGCACTTGTAACGCCGTTCCTCCTCGGCAGGARGAGACTGGGTGAGCTCTTGTCCCCCAGTGAAGTTCACTACTGATTCAGCCAAATACTGTTCCAAATTGCTAAGGAGGCTGCTTGCTGGGGTGGGGAGAGGTGGGGTTCTGGCAGAATTGGTGGTGGACCCCCAGACCTCTGCAATCTCCTCAGAATCTGGTTGATTTTCCCAGCCTTCCCTTTGTCTGGTAGGCAGATCTTCCCAAGTGCCAGAGGTTGCCCTAGGGTCAGATCCAGACTCACAACCAGGTGTGTCTTTTGTATGTTTTGTCTGGTTTCCCCAGCCTTCCCCAGGGCCAAGCTTCTGGCCCCAGGAGTCAGTGGACACTGTTTCACTCTGGACATGTGGAGTGGCTTCTTTGGGGCGGGGGGGCCTGCGCCTGCGCCGGCCTTCAGGAGCATGAGTCCTCATGTGGCTCTTGAGGGCCATGGGATTAGTAAAGTCCTTGCCACAGGTGGTACAAGGGAAAAGGCCAGTCTCGTGGGTTCGGCGGTGGTTGACCAGGCTCCCGGGGTGACGGTAGCCCCGCCCACACTGCTGACAGCGGTAGGGACGAGGGATGCTGTCAACTTCCTCACTATCCTGATTGGGAGAYGGATGGAGCAGTTCTCGGTGCCGTGACAGTTCTGGGATACTAGGAAAGTGACGCTGACAGTCAGAGCAGCTAAGTGAGAGGGGTGTGTCCTCCATGGGTCAATGTGACAGAAACCTGGAGGTTCAGGAGGAACAGAYAGGTGGCAGCAGCATCTTCTTCTGGTGGAGGAGCCAAGGCCTAGGAAGAGGGGGTCGTTATCAAAAAAAGGCCTAAATTAACTTTGACTCTTGTTTCTACGAGCCACACATTCACTAGAGGTCACTGAGAGGTTACCTAACCATCAATGCCCACCGATCTACTTTCTACTAGATCTAACCTGGGAGCACCATCATTTAAGGCCTATGCACAGCTCCCCAAATATGGGAGTTCCTCTAGGCTTAAGTCATACCAAAAAGATAAGGGAATAGAAGTCTAGAGAGTAACTCACTTCTGATCACAGACCTAATATCATGTCTTTCAGGCCAGATTCAAAAGGTTTACTGTTCCCAATCTTATATTCTCTATAATTCTGTGAAAACAAAAAACTTCTTATGACACCTGAAAAAGGAAACTAGAATTGTTCCTAGGCTTCAGAATAAGAAAGTCCAACCCTTTCTCCTTTATCCTTCAACTAAATAAAGTAACCTGGAAGCACTGAAAAAATGGCTACTTTCTCCATCAATAACTAACAAAAATATTTTAAAAAAGAAGTCATCTACAGAGAAGGGAGTGGTTTGTTCCCCCCACTCATTCCAAGTCCTTTCAGTGTCTCAAGGTCTTCTTTCCAAAAACTCTCTTGCCTACTTTTACCTACTTCCCCCAAACCCCAACTGTCTTCCATTTTTGGGGAAAAAAATCCCATCTCGTTTGACACTTTGAATTTCATTTCATCTCCTATTTTCTAGTCCGAGTCGCCTTACTTTACTCTCACCATCCTTTCTCATTTTTTCTTCTACTACTTTTCAATACTGATGACAGTAACTCATGCTGAACATTACCATGTGCCAGGCACTGTAAATATATTCACTGTGTCACTAAATCCTGACAACACTGCAATGCCAGTTAACTCAGTTTACACATGAGAAACACACTGACTGAGGCAGTCTTCACCTTAAAGCTCTTGTTTTCTTAGTAAGAGCCCCTCCTGCCTCCTAGTCATCTTGGCCTTTTCCAATTCTGACTATTCACTCCCATGGGACACCAATAGAATTCATCTCCGACTTTAAACCCTTTCACTGAATCTGCCCCCAGAATTCTCACTTCCCAAAGCTCCTTCTCTCAAGAGTCCCCTTCCCTAATCAACCACCAACGAGGTCCTCTATCGTCACTCATCTCTTCTGCCAATTTCCTCTTAGGACCCCTACCTTGCACCGCCGACCCCTTCCCGTTCCCGCCGCGGGCGCGTCCGTTGGGAACCGCGAACGAGAGCGCGCCTGCGCACTGGGACCCTTACCCTAACTGCAGCCGCGCGCCCCAGGGGTGGCCTTGGGGGGGGTCTCGCGCTCCTACACACGAACAGTCAGCCAGGGTTCCCGGAAAGGGGGAGCACAGTGCAAGAAGAAAAGACGGAGGTGAAGGAAGAGGAAGGTAGAGAGAAGAGGGCACAGCTGGTAGGATCCAGAACTCTACCCCCCACCTCCGCGGACACTTCCTATTGTTACTAGGAAACAGGAAGTGTCCTAGATGCAAAATCTTCCCCGTGAAACTTCCGCTTCGGGAACACTTCCTGTCCCACCTCCAGGCTGCAGTTCTACACAAACACACTTCCGGTGCCAGGTTCTGGTTGGGCGTGACTCTGGCTCCGCCCACGCAGGTCACAACGCTGTGCTTCTTCTCACTACCTTAGCCACAATTCGGGCCAGAGCGGCAAAATTGTTCCGATGCATACTGAATAAGTGCGAGTATGGGGGGGAATTCTTCAGGCCTGGCCACAGTACTATGGTGACACTTTTTGTGGGGCTCCCAAGACAGATGGGGAAAGCTTCATTAAATTCACTCCTTGCTATTAAAGGAAACGTGAAGTAGAGGGTTTAGATACCACAAAACTTCATCATGGCCTTTCTGTCCTCCTATCTTCTAGCTCTTGGAGACACTTCCGGTGACCTGGCCAATACATACAGTCGGCCGGGCGTCCCCTTGCTTTATTGCTCAGAGACCCTTAGCAAGATGTTTCCGCCACCATAGGCAGGRGTGCTTGCGTAAACTTTTCCTTCTCTTAAGCGGGGAAAGCTCTCTCTCACTTCCGCTCTCTGGCCTGCTGGCCCCGCCTCCCTGCCCCCCGCTGGGTCCTAGCGCCTTCCCCTTTCTGGTAGTGTTCTGGGCTCTGTTGGTGCGTGAAGCCGACGCAGATGCCACGGAGCCAGTCCAAGTCGGATCAGGTAGGAGACGCCTGCGGGAAGTCGCCAAGACCCCGGGCAGCCCTAGCACGGATGCGGTCAAAGCTGGCCTCAGTTTTCCTGTGGGCACCGGAGGACTGGGTTGGCCCGACGCGAGCAGCGCGGGCGGGGCGGGCGGCAAGCGGCCCCAGGCGGGCTCCGGGCCCAGCAGGTCCTAGAACCCGCCGGCTGTCCCCGCGGGCCGGCTACTACGGACTCCTGGGCTCGGCCTACGCGGCTGCCGGCCTTGTGCKGTGTGGGCCCGGGGGTCCTAGAGCCCGCCATGTTGAGGGCTTTTGTCTTAGCTGCGCGGCCCGCCAAGTAAGGTCCCTAGCGCCTGTGGCCCCCCTCCCAGGCGGAGGCCCTGACCGCCCCTCCCGCGGTCCTAAAGAACGCCATTTGCGGGGCTTTGTCCCGCTTTTGGCCCTCCTTCCATTCATTTGTTCATTCCTTCATTCTTCGTTTACTTTTTCTTATCACGTTCTCCAAGGCCACGTTTTCCTAGGGTTCATTCCGAAACGAGTCAGCCCGGGGCCCTGCCCTGCGGGGACTGCCTGTCTGGTGAAGGTACCAACACAGATGGTTATAGGAATTGRGGAGCACAAGGTTTCTGCATCTCTTGGCCACTCCTCAGGTCGTCTAATAGGCTTTAATGCCCTTCAACTCCCTTATACCTCAGCTGTCGCATTTTAGCAATGCCGAGATAGGCCGAGAGCGCTGTGGATCCTTTACTTCTACTGTCCACTAGGTATTATTGGGAGCATTGGAGAGGGAGTATTTGAGTGATGCAAATGAGTTTTCCCTTGGGAGAAGGGGAGCATGGGCTTCTTGGCAGAGGGAATTGCATATAGAAGGGCGAAGTTTGAGAACAATTGTGGCCGGAGCTTTGGTCGCTGACCCTAGCGGGTCACTGCCACTGAAACTGAGGCTGGAAAAGTATATTGGGATCAGATTGTGAAGGTTTTAGGCCTAGCTATGATTAATGCTCACCTCTCCACAGTTGCATCAACTCACCAGATTTCTCCTGGCCTGAGAGGTTTATGTGATGACTRTTTTCTTAAAGATGGGGAGACTTAAATGCCTCCTTTTTCACCTCATCCCTGCTTCCAGACTAAGCTTTTGGGGGAATTCAATCTCTGCATATCTTGTGATTACAGGTAACAGACTTGAGAGGTGGGGACATGAGATTAAGAGATAATTCTGTAGCCTGGGCCCACTGTGCTGGTCCCCACATGCTTGCTTTTAATTCTTTAAAATTTTATTTACTTATTTAGGGTACTGGGGATTGAACGCAGGGGCGTTGGACCACTGAGCCACATCCCCAGCCCTATTTTGTATTTCATTTAGAGACAGGGTCTCACTGAGTTATTCAGGGACTTGCTAAGTTGCCAAGGCTGACTTTGAACTRTTGGTCCCCCTTCCTCAGCGTTCTGAGCTGCTGGGATTACAGTCCTGTGCCGCTGGGCTGGGCCCACACTCTTGCTTTTAAAAAAAAAGTTTACATGTGGCCCTGCCTAGCTTAAGTCAATAGGACTGTTATATTCTCAGCAATAGCCCATTACCTGCAGAAGAACTAATAGGCCCAGAAAGGACAAAAAGAAGAATACAAGTTACCCTGAAGTCCCTGAAGGGACATTTTGACCTTTATACCAACCAAAGATTCTGGGTCAGAAAGAGACAGAATTTCATAGGTTCTGACTCCTTCCTAGTCATTGGAACCTTCCTTATCACATCATAAGGGAGCAAGACTTCCTAGGGTGGACAACTGCATCTTCCCAATTTCAGAGTGGGGGTGGTGTCCAAATTCAGCGAGTTTCAACCCCCTTAAAAAACCCGGACTTTGTGAAAAATATGCTTTTTTGTCCAGAGACAGTTCAGGTCACTCCACGGCCACACTGTACTCATCTCTCTTATTTCATTTTCCCAGATAAACTACTTGTCGATCTGTATAACCCACCCAAAACCTTTGTGTGAGTTTGTAAAGAACCAGCTGTCTTTAGGACCCAACACCTGCCTTGAGGCCCTGCAAGCCACTTTTGGCTGCAGCTCTGAGGGCGGCAGACATGCTACAATGTTTGGTGTCTCCACCAATTACTTTACTGATTAACTCCTATTATTTTTTCTGGTTACTTTTTCAGATCTGCCTTTTCTAAACTCTTACTCAACAACTTGGCCTGAGATAATTAAAAATTTCTGGTCAGGGCACACTGTGATGAAATTGGAAGGTCTTGATTGGAATCCATTTACCCACAGCCCTTTATGGGGTAAGAGCCTGAGGCTTACATTTTTGGTCTTTTTGGTGGACAGACATTGTCTTATGGCAGTTGAAGGCTTCCGTCCAGGTTACTCTGACATGCCTGAAGGCTGGCAATTATAAGTCCCTGAACACCCATGCCCTTTAGGGTAAAAACACCACTTTGTCTTCCTTTTGCCCTCTCATCTTTACCTCTGGACCAGCAGAACATCATGGGACCTCACTCAGGGTTCAAATCAATGGGAACTCTAATGCACATTAAAGGTAAAAAGCATTTTTAATCTCTTTGGTTTAAAGTACTYCAATCTAAAACTCCTCTTCTCATACTGCATTACAGGATTACCTATAGGTTTCTTTGCTGCTTGATATCTGCCCATCTTAGGCTTGCTATCCTATTTGGGCCACTGGGACTTAAATGTTTGTTCTTTCTTTTCTTTTATTTAATATATTTTTTTTTAGTTGTACATGGATACAATACCTTTTTTTTATTTTTATGTGGTACTGAGGATTGAATCTTCCACATGTAAGGCGAGCATTCTACCACTGAGCTACAACCCCAGCCCAGTTGTTCTTTCTTTTTTTGTATTCTGGGATTATGTTCTTAATAAATTTCTCTCTAAATRCCAGAGTGGGAGGGGGAAAGGTAGAGAGACTGAACAGACCAGCTAAAAAAAAAAAAACTCTGGGTCTTTTCAGGGATGCTCAAGAAGACCCTTTAGGTATTGCCTTAGGGACAATATAAACATTGCCCAAAGTGCAGGTAGGTCAGCTCCAAAATTTCARAGCACCAAGCAAGCCAACATCAGGCCCAGGAACTGGGAACGTCAGGGGACTCTCACTTTTCATAGATGCTCTTTTCTATCCAGATATAAAACATTGACAAAAGGGAAAATCCATGTTTCTTTTTCTTGAAAGCCTTTTTCTATGGTCTACCCTCTCCCCTGATCTCATAGGCTCTCATACTTTCTAAATGTCTTGATTGACTCTGATCTAATTCAAAAGTGCACTCTTGTCTAATATAAGTATTCTCTGTGTTTTTGTTTGTTTTTGATACTGATGACTGAACCCAGGGATGGTTTAACACTAACCTACATCCCCAGACATTTTTGTTTTCATCCATTTATTTATTTATTTATAATTGTAAGTGGATATAATATCTTTATTTTTTTATCTTTATGTGGTGCTGAGGATTGAACCCAGTGCCTCAGCCATGCTAGGTGAGCGCTCTATCACTGAGCCATAACACCAGCTCCCTTATTTATTTATTTATTTAGGGATAGGGTCTGGCCAAGTTGCTGGCTTTGAGTTTGGCTCCTCCTCTATTGCCCCCCTGATCTGTTTTTTTTTTTTTGGGAGGGGGGTGGATACTGGGAATTGAACTCAAGGACACTGAACCACTGAGCCACATCCCCAGTTCTATTTTATATTTTATTTAGAGACAGGGTCTCAGTTGCTTACCRCCTCAATGTTGCTGAGGCTGGCTTTGAACTTGGAATCTTCCCGTCTCAGCTTCCCGAGCTCCTGGGATTACAGGCTTATGCCACCATTTCAGGCCTATGTATTCTTTTTTTTTTTTTTTTTTTT